GAGAGTGAAATTACAGGAAGAATTAGGATGCAATGGAGAAATCTGTGCACTAGATGTATGAAACACTGAATGAACTACTTCAAGAATATAGTCAACCAGGCGCCTGTGGCTCAAGCCTGTAATCCTAGCTACTCAGTCGGCTGAGATCTGAGGATGCAGTTCAAAGCCAGCCTGGGCAGGAAAGTCTTATTTATCTCCAATTCTCTACTCAGAAAAAGCCAGAAGGGGCACTGTGCATCTAGTGGTAGAGTGCTAGCCTTGAGCACAGAGAAGCTCAGGGATAGAGCATAGGCTCTTTTTTTTTTTGTCGGTCGTGGGGCTTGAACTCTGGGCCTGGGCGCTGTCCCTCAGCTCTTCAGCTCAAGGCGAGCGCTCTACCACTTGAGCTACAGCGCCACTTCCAGTTTTCTGGTGGTTTTTATTGGAGATAGGAGTCTCACGGTCTCTCCTGCCCGGGCTGGCTTTGAACCGCGATCCTCAGATCTCAGCCTCCTGAGTAGCTAGGATTACAGGCGTGAGCCACCAGCGCCCGGCTAGAGCATAGGCTCTTGAGTTCAAGCTCCAGGACTGGCAAAAGAGAGGGAGAAGGAGATAGAATATTGTCAAAAGACCACTCATGGAGCTGGGAAGGTGGCTCAGTGGTAGAGTGTTTGCCTCGCATTCATGAGGCTCTCATGCACCTCAGCACCACATAAACATAAAAAGCTGGAAGTGGCACTGTGGCCCAAGGCACTAGCCTTGAGCAAGAAAGCAGCTGAGGGACAATGCCCAGCCCCAGAACTGGCAAAAAAAAAAAAAGTGGTGCTGTGGCTCAAGTGATAGAGTGCTTGCCTTGAGCTGAAGAACTGAGGGACAGTGCCCAAACCCAGAGTTCAAGCCCCACAACCGACAGACAAAAAAAAAAAAAAAAAAAGCCTTTTATTGGGGCGGGAAGGTGGCTCAGTGGTAGAGTGCTTCCTTGCATGCATGAGGCCCTGGGTTTGATAAACAGGAAAAAAAAAAAAGGTGGATGGGCACTGCGGCTCAAGTGGTAGAGTGCTAGCTGAAAAGCTTAGGGACAATGCTCAGGCCCAGAGTTCAGGCCCCACAACCGACCAAAAAAAAAAAAAAAAGAGCCTCATGGACTTTCCTGCCAGGGCTGGCTTTGAACCTCAATCCTCAGATCTCAGCCTCTTTAGTAGCCAGGATTATAGGCATGAGCCATTGGCACCCCATTTCCATGAGATTCTTATCTCCAATTAGCCAGAAAAAAACCTGGAGGAGTAGTGAGCTGGGAATGTGGCTTAGTGGTAGAGTGCTTGCCTAGCCTGCATGAAACCCTGGGTTTGATTCCTCAGTTCCACATAAACAGAAAAAGCTGGAAGTGGTGCTGTGGCTCAGTGGTAGACTGCTAGCCTTGAGCATAGAGAGGCTCAAGGACAGTGGCCAGGACCTCTGAGTTTAAGCTCTAGGACTGGCAAAAAAAGAAAAAAAACCTGGAGGAGTGGAGTGGCTCAAGTGGTAAAGAACCAGCTTTGAGTGAAAAGACTAAGAAAACACAAGTTTCCTGAGTTCAATCCCCATTACCGAAACCCCCCTCCCCCACATCTGCATTCACATGTACGCACACACACACAGATTGTCAGGAAAACTTGACACTATTGTAAAGGAAGACAGATGTGCCAGGAGCCGGTGGCTCACACCTGTAATACTAGCTACTCAGGAGTCTGAGATCTGAGAATCATAGTTCAAGGCCAGGCCGGGCAGAAAAGTCTGTGAGACTCTTTTGTGTGTGTGTGTGTGTGTGTGTGTGTATGTGTGTCGGTCATGGATCTTGAACTTTCCTGCCATGGCTGGCTTTGAATCGTGATCCTCAGATCTCAGCCTCCTAAGTAGCTGAGATTACAGGCATGAGCCACCGGTGCCCAGTCAGTGAGACTTATCTCCAGTTAACCAACAGAAAACCAGAAGTGACTCAAGTGGCAGAGCGCTTGCCTTGAGCTGAAGAGCTCAGGGACAGCGACCAGGCCCAGAGTTCAAGCCCTATGACTGACAAAAAAAAAAAAAAAAAAAAGGAGGACAGGTGAGCCCACTAGTACATTCTCAGAAACTCTCCTCAAGTGTCCACCCTCCTCCTCCCCTCAATTTGTTCTGCTATCATATCGCGGTGGTAATTGCTAAACCACAACTTTTCTGGACCTGTTTTCCATTTATGTTATTTGAAGGAGATAAATCCTGGTCTAACATTACAGCTTTGTTTCTTACCTAGTCAGTTTAACTGTATTCTTTCACTTTGCAGTTTTACAGTCTCCTAGTGTTGTAAACCTGAGATTGGAAGTTGCTTAAGATGGGAAGCACCCAAGATCAGACTCCAGAAAAAAAACCAGTACATCTACCCGTGTAGGTAAACGCTTATGGGAGGGGCAAGAAACTACAACTCCCAAGAAGCCTCAGACTCTAACGAAGGGAAGGTTGGGAGGGGTAATGCATGCTTACTCTGGCTAAAGCAAGAACTACAATTCCCAGAGAGCTCCACGCTACAAGTTAGCCAATCAACTCTAACTAAAAAGTATCGCGATGCTCAGTGAGACTTGATTCTATAAGCCCTAGGAAATCGACGCTGGAAACCCTTTTCACCAAGATGGCGCCGAAAGCGAAGAAGGGAGGTGTGTGTTAGGTCCGCGGGTTTCCTTGGAATGCTCGCAGACAACTTACTGGGAGGACATGGTTGGGCTAAGTTCGCGGGGATGTGTCCCGGAACGGCATCCGGCGGTTATGCCACACTGCGGCGTTATGTGGGCGCTGTAGGCCCAGCCGCATGGGCTGGGTCCTGTGAAGTGGGTTACATGCAATCCAGCCACGTTTTCGCCAGGGAAGGCCAAATAACTGGCTTGGGGGGAGCTGTACAACATCATAGCTTGTTTCCAGACCTAAAAGGAATTAGGATTTCCCAGCATTACTCGTTTTCTCCCTCTTTTTCATGTTATATGGGGCCATGTGTCCCTCTGGGTGGTTAGGGCGGTGGGTATAGTCAAAACTTCCTAGCAAATATCACGTGCTAGTTTCGTTTCTTCGCCATTCTACTGAAGTTCTAACAAGTGGATTACCTTCGCTCCAACATAGTGCATATGATGGGAAATATCTTAATTTTCTGAGATTTGTGATGTTTTCAAAGGAACCTCTGATGCACATGTGGACGTGGGCGCTTGAGGCAGCTCTCCAGGCCGGAAGTAACAGATTTCTGGTTTAAGCCCCCTGCCTGATTTTCTTTCCTTCTCTCAGCTCCTGCCCCTCCTAAAGCCGAAGCCAAGGAAAAGGCTTTGAAGGCCAAGAAGGCAGTGCTGAAAGGTGTCCACAGCCACAAAAAGAAGAAGATCCGCACTTCACCCACCTTCCGGCGGCCCAAAACGCTACGGCTCCGAAGACAGCCCAAATACCCTCGGAAGAGTGCTCCGAGGAGAAACAAGTAAGTGCTAGTGTTGCCCCATGCTTGTGTGTTAATTACTACTTAACGTGTCAATATTCCAAAGTCCAATTTATTGAGTATAAAGGAGAGGTTAAACACATGCTTATTTTGGAGTTAAATTTTATTTCTTTCTTCATAACACTTATTGCTGCAGAGGACAGCCTTGAGGGAAATCACATAGGCAGATTTGATGGTGAGGATTCAGTCATTGTATTTGGGCAGTAGTGTGGCCTGTTAACAATGTCTAGGAGGTACACTTGTCAAGTTTTCTGCACTCTGGGGCTGGGAAAGTGGCTGAGTGGTAGAATGCTTGTCTTGCATGCAAGAGGCCCTGGGTTTGATTCCTCAGCACCATATAAACAAAAAGAAAAAAGCCATAAGTGGCGCTGTGGCTCAAGTGGTAGAGCGTTAGCCTTGAGCTGAAGAGCTGAGGGACAGTGCCCAGGCCCAGAGTTCAGGCCCCACAACCGGACCCCAAAGGGAAAAAAAAATTTTATTCAACACTACGTCTGTTTGAACCTAGAATTTAGTCTTAACTCTGAACAGGAAAGTATCTTGAGAAGCTATATTCTAGATGTGCTTAAGCCACTGCAGAGTTGTAAGTAAAAAGGTGTTCTTTCAGGGCTGGGAAGGTGGCTCAGTGGTAGAATGCTTAGTAGTGCTTCAAAAGCATCAAACCCTGGGTTCGATTACTCAGCACCACATAAACAGAAACAAAAATCAGAAGTGCTGTAGCTCAAGTGGTAGAGTGCTTGCCTTGAGCTTAAGAGCTGAGGGACAGGGCTGGAAGTCATGGTTCAAGTGGTAGAGTGCTTAATAGTGCAGGCCCTTTAGTACAACCGAGTCCTCAGTTCTCCTGAGTAGCTAGGATTACAGGCATGAGCCATCTTTTAGTAACCAATGAAGTAGAAATGAGTGAAAGTGTTTGAAGTCAAAGGTGGTTCTTAAGTAAATCCCTTCAGGTCAAAGAAAATGCATAAGGGTCTGCCTCCAGGCTGGGCCTTCAGAGCTCTGGAACTCAGGGTGCAGATGATGACACTGTTAAGCGACCAAAGTCTGACAAAAATGATTTGCATTCTTATTGTCTGATGCACCTATTCTCCAGCCCTTCAGTTGGACTCAAAAGAGAATGCCCATCCAACCTGGGTCCCTGCCTCCATTTTGCTTTTCCTTTCAGGCTTGACCACTATGCTATCATCAAGTTCCCCCTGACCACTGAGTCAGCCATGAAGAAAATAGAAGACAACAACACACTTGTGTTCATTGTGGATGTTAAGGCCAACAAGCATCAGATCAAACAGGCTGTGAAGAAGCTCTATGACATTGATGTGGCTAAGGTCAATACCCTGATCAGGTAAGTGGGCCACAGTCAGGGGTCTGAAAGTTAATGCTTCTGTACAGTTTTGTACATTCTCCCCTGTATGTGGTGTCAGTTTTAGGAAAGTGTCCCTCTGGTATAGGATTGGTGCTCATTTTCTGGATCCCTACCTCTAATTGATAAGGGGCTAAGGTACATTGTAGCCTTTTCCAGTAAAATACTTCTCTCGCCTATTCTGCGCAAATGATGGAAAATTCACTATTCAGAAAGGAATGATATGAACAAAGGAACCACTGATGCGCCCAGAATTGGCAGGGGCGGTTGGAGGAAGAGAGTATGGAGACCTAGCTGTAGAGACTGTAGTCACTAAGCTTTCTGTTTCCATCTAGACCTGATGGAGAGAAGAAGGCATATGTTCGACTGGCTCCTGATTACGATGCTTTAGATGTTGCCAACAAGGTAAGCTTCCAACAGACCTTTCTTTGGCTGGTACCAAGGCTTGAACTCTTAGGGGCTTTGTGCTTTCATACAAGTGGCTCTAAACTTCTAGGCTTTTCCACCTGAGCTGGCTTCTGACCTTGATCCTTCAGGCATGAGCCCAAGTGTCTGGCTGCAACAAACTCTTAGTGCCTACCTACCTCTGAACACTGATGATGCATTTGTTAGTCACCAAGCCTGACTTGCTAATTACCCAACTGTCATTTTCCCTCTTGACCATGAATGACACTTAAGCATAATCTTGAAAAGGAGCTCTAATAACACAGTCCCCCCCCCCTTTTTTTTTTTTCAGATTGGAATCATCTAAACTGAATCAAGCTGGCAAATTATAAATATACATTTTTTCCCACCAATTATGTGTGTCTTGTCTTTGTTGGTTGTTGGTTTCTGGCTGGGCCTGGGGTAGGCTAAACTGTCAGTAGGAAAATAGAGCTTAAAGAGTTTTGGAGCTGGGAATCAAACCCATGGCATTGAGCTTGGTAGTAAACTGCTTTACCTTTAAACCCACATCCCCACCCCTTTGCAAGACCTCTACTCAGGCCCCAGAGGTACTTATTAATTGTCCTAGAACAACTTGGACATACTCCCTATCCCATCACAGAGATAAGAGAACAACCTTTGTTCTATCCCTTGAAGGGGCTACATGTGAAAAGGCAGTTTGATGCAGTAGAGGGGTTAGGGCTGTCATTGGCATGACATGGCAGTGTAGGTTGCCTGGTTTTTGGGTCATCACTCCCATCTACCATGTCCAACCAGTCTGACTGCTTCCCTCATCCCTTGCCAAACAAAAAGACTTCAGAGGAGTGCTTTCATTAGTGTTTCAATAGTGTGGGTGCAGGCTCAAGGTGGCCCCAGAAGACGCCCACACTTGAGGCAGAGTCCCGGTTTATGTGAGTCTGTTCCAGTTCTTGGCTGTGATTTTTATCCTTTGCCCCATGTCCCAGGCCTTGCACCTCTCACTCAGTCAAAAACTTGTCTTTGTGTTGCCGGCTGGGGACCGGCTCAGGGCAGAAGTCAGAGCGTAGGAGGCGGGAAAAGTAGATGAGGATCATCACATCCAACATGAGCAAGATGCTCAGCAGAAAGCCGCCCAGGTTCCTCTGGCCTGCATATTGCAGGAAGAATTTGGTGAGGTAGACCTGAGGTGCCAGGCGAAAGAGAAAGTACATGACCAAGTTGACGTACTTGTTGATCCTGTAAAGGAGAAGCTCTTGGGCATTGTTGATCTTCATCATCATTCGGAAGGTGAGGAAGATATTGCTGACTTCCACCAGTAGTGTCAGGACACCTGCACCAACAAAGCTTCTCCAAAAGATGCCAGAGAAGAAGGCACCTATAGCCTATAAGACAAGGTGTCAAGGTGGAGATATATCAGACCATCAATTGAGGGCTGGGGAAACAGATGTAATATTTGTGTTTGGGGTTTTTTTCATTCCATAGACTTTGATCTTTGCCCAAAGGTTCTAGCTCTGAGTAGCTTTCCCAGTTTGTTTGCTCAGTAGGTGAGCCTAGGTATTAGTAGCCTCTGAGAAAGGGAGAACACAGCAGACATTAAGACAAGCCTTTTGCCTCCTGGGTTCAGGAAAACGGATAGGATCCAGTCCTGGATCACATCACTTACCATGACATGGTGAACAAGGTATTCCCAAGAGGCCCGAGTCTGGCTACTAATCACGATGTCCACTGTGTCATGGATGAAGTATCCTAACAGACACAAAGCTTTCTTTTAGCTGTACGGTGTTATTTGTCATCGCGAATGCTGCCCACCTCCTTCCCCTCTACCTCAAGCTTCCAGGGCAAGACCTACCTGCGGAGAAGCAAACGAGCAAATAACCAGAAAGTGACCACGCTGTCTCCATCTCCACTAGCATCTCGGGAGTCTGCCATAAACTGGAAGGGAGGGGAAAAGGGAGGTTCTCTCGGTTTCAGCATCCCCAAGGACCCTGAACTCCCCCAATACTCTGGCCGGTCCCAGGGTAGTCTGGGCTCCCATCATTGGCTAACTGGAGAGTAAGGAGGAGCTTGGCCGAAACCCAGGTGTCTCGGGTTTCCCAGGATCGTAGCTGGTTGGGTAGTTTTCCCAGCCAGGGAATCAGGTGAGATCCCACGGCCCCGGCTCGCTGTGAGTGATGGGAATAATAACAGGGAAGCCAGTCCCAGCACCCCGCCGCCGGCTCCCTTGGCCACCTCATTTCCCAGTCGCTCACTCACCACAGCAGTGCCCAGATCCCTGACACAATGGAGTGGGTGAAGGAGACGAGGAGGTTGTGCCAGCGCCAGGTGCGCAGGGGGTCGGTGCGCACGTGCGCCGGCAGGGGCAGGCGACTGAGGGCTCGCCGGAGCGCTCGGAAGGTCAGCGTGGCGACCAGGAGCAGGGGCAGGGCGGGATGCAGGACGGGGGTCATACTGGCCCTCCCTGCCGTCTGTCTGTCCGCCTTCTAGGCCGTCTCTCCGGGCAGTTGTGGAAACAGGACTCCGTCTGGCCAGTGCGCCCCGACAGCCTCTCTCGCCGGCCGAAAGCCCCACGGAGTTTTCGCTGAGCCTCTAGGCCCCATCGCCCCTCCCCGCCCTCCTGGCGGGGCCTCTGCCCCCGCCCCCCGCCGCCCGCGCCCCCGCCCCGCCCCGCCGCCTGCCTCCGCCCCTCGGGCGCCTCTGCTGCGCGGACGGCGCGAGACCCATTCTCCCTCCTCCCCCGCCCCGCCAGCGCCCCGGCCCCGCCCGGATCTCGTCGACTTCGGGCGGGAAGTGGTTGTCCTGGGGGCGTCGCCGCCAAGGCGCCCCAGTCTGGCTCCTCCCGACTGCCGAGGTGTCCCCAGCCGCCCTCGCTCGCACGGACTCATTAGCCTCATCCCCACTTTTCTCCCAGGGCCAGCAGTTTCCCAGCATAGATCGGAGAAGTGCGCTCTCAATTCCTTTCTGGGCACAGCTGAGTGAGATCGTCCAAGACCCAAATCACCTAAATCCTGATCTTGGAGAGGGGTCGGAAGCCCCGCCTTGAGAGAATGGCTCCGCCCAGCTCCACTGGCCAGTAACAGGCGATGTTTACCTGCCTCTCCAGTGCCCAGAGCCACTACTTAGGAACTGTTGAGTCACCCATCACCTGTCTTCTCAGCCACTCTGGGGCTCCCGGGGCCAGGCGGCTGTCACAGTCCTCCCTCGGATAGTCCCAGGGCTCCTGGCTCCCGAGGCTGGAGTGGGGAAGACCAGATTTGCCCAGACAGCTGGGGTGACCCACCCCACCTCTCTCTCCAGGACAGTACCCTGGAGCAGTTGCGGCTTCTGGCCACTAGGTGTCAGCCTGTCCCCACCGTGGACTTGGGTCTTCTCCCGCCTTCAAAAGAGCAAAGTGGTTGCTTCGGGGGCGGGGATGGGGGATGGAAATAAGGCTGATCCCAGTTGGAAGTTGGTGAAGTGAAGTGTGAGTAAAGCGTGGAAGAAGGGGGAAGGGAGAAGTATGGAGGAGGAAGAACCTGAAAATTCGAAGCTCAGAGACCCAAGGACCAGGTCGTCTGGATGTTTGCTCTGTGTTCCATGAAGGCTCCAAGGTTACACATTAATCCTTGCTGGGGGAACCTGGGTCATTCTAGGGCCAGTCCATTACTAGGTGACAGCACGATGTCCTAGGAGAGTGCCCTCCCCCCTCTTAGCTCACGAGACAACCGGTCCACCAGCCAACACTGGTCTGTGCTAGTACCGTTGGTCCGTTCCAAGTGTTCCTTCCAAGAAGGAAAGTGTCCTTCCGAGGCGGGGGGATCACAAGCAGAAGATAAACATCCTTTTCCTCGAATTACTCCCTCATTCAAAAACAGGGACGCTAGCCTTTAGCGAATGACCATTTACTTCTTTAATGCTGAGATTTTAATTAATTAATTAATTAATTTTATAGTTGTGGGGCCTGAACTCTGGGCCTGGGCGCTGTCCCTCAGCTCTTCAGCTCAAGGCTAGAGCTCTACCACTTGAGCCCCCTTCCCAGCCCAATGCTGAGATTTTATAGAGCTCCCGCAGAGCAGGAGGGGCTCAACTGGAGCTGGGATTAAATTTAAATTCACTTACCGTGTACACTGGCCCTAGCTACTTAGTAAGTTGAGATCTCAGGATCACGGTTCAAAGCCAGACTGAACAAGAATTTCAGTGAGACTATCTTCAATTAACCACCATAAAACCAGAAGTGGGGGACTGGGAATGTGGCTTAGTGGTAGAGTGCTTGCCTGGCATGCATGAAACCCTCAGTGCTACATAGAAACAGAAAAAGCCGGAAGTTGGCGCTGTGGCTCAAAGTGGCAGAGTGCTCTTGAGCAAAATGAAGCTCAGGGACAGTGCCCAGGCCTTGAATTCAAACCCTGCAACCAAATCAATCAACTAATTCACTTCTATTAAGAATTTAGTGGGTGATATCAGTTAGCTTTCTACTTCTGGTCAAAAGCATTGAATCCTTTTCCAGAAGCTGCCAGATACTGAGTTACTTCCACCTACTGGAGGAGCCCATCTTCAAGGACAGCGGTTTGGGTGTGCATTCCGAGGTGAGAGCAATGACAAATGCCTAGTCACCAGTCGGGTCAGCCCCAGAGGGGGGGTGTGGTGTGGTGATAGTGGTGGTGGTGGTGGCGTGAAGTCTTCCCCAGATGAATCAACTGATACAGCTCGGGGTTTCCCGGTCCCTCCTTAGGCAAACACGAAACTCACCCTGCTTCCAGCCCCACAGACCCAGCACGACTCTCGGATTGTTTTGTTTCTTGTGTTTACGTGCCAATAAAAACCCACGCCAGTCCGAAATGGCGTCCTTGGTGGGAAGAGCAGGGTTAGTCTTCCCTCATTCCGCCTTGGGGTGTGCGGATAACAGTGGATCACGGCCTTCCTCCAATCGCGCTTGGCCCAGGGCCAGGTTGCGCGCCGCAGGGGTGAGAAAAAGGCGGGTGCGAGCAAACAAACACATACACACACCGGTACCGCCCTATTCTTGGACCCTACGTGGGGGATGATGGTCGCGAGGGAAAAGCGAACCCGTGTCGGGGAAGTGAGCAACAGACGGGTTCGAAAACACCCGCGCGCGCCCCAGCCAGTTCTTAATTAGCTGAGCTGGCTCCGCCCCGAAAAAGTTGCACAGCCACAGGGGCGGGGCTCCAGGACGGGCGGGTCTGCGCACGCGCCGCGCGGAGGGTCCCCGGAGGCTTAGCTCTGAGAAATGAGATGGAGAAATACGAGCGGATCCGAGTGGTAGGGAGAGGCGCCTTCGGGTGAGCCGGGGCTCTGGGGAAGGGAACTGCTAGGGCAGAGGGGAAATAAGTTCCAACTCTTGACTGAAATTTGCCGCCTGGCTAACCCCTCCCCAAGGCGTGAGTGCCATTCTGAGAAGCCCCGCCCCGGCTTCCGGTTCGGGCCTAGCGAGGAGATTCTGCCCTAAAGCGGCCACGCCCCTCGCCAGCCGCAGGGCGGTGGGGAGTTCTCTGAAGTTGCTTGTCCTTGATATTTCTTGATATGGAGCCAAGACGTCTGGCTGTGGGCGCTGATGATACAGATGACAAAAATAGACGTGGTCCTCATTCACCATACAGGACCTGTGTACAGTAAGATGTTAAGCTGGGTGCTAGTGGTTTTCACCTGTAATTCTAGCTATTCAGGAGGCTGAGATCTGAGGATTGAGGTTGGAAACTAGCCTGGGCAGGAAAGTCTGTGAAACTTATCCCAAGTAAACCAACAAGAACAACAACAAAGCCAGAAGTAGCCGGGCACTGGTGGCTCACGCCCAGAATCCCAGCTATTCTAGAGGCTGAGATCTGAGGATCACGGTTCAAAGCCAGCCCTGGGAGGCAAGTCCATGAGACTCTTATCTCCAGTTACCCACCAGAAAACCCGAAGTGGCGCTGTGGCTCAGGTGATAGAGCGCTGGCCTTGAGCTGAATAGCTAAGGGACAGCACCCAGGCCCTGAGTTCAAGCCCCAGAACTGGTTGGGTACAAAAAAAGTAAAAGGACAATATAATTTCTGCTTTTATATACACTGACCACAGAATTGAAATAATATATTGAGTGGGTTCCATTCATTGAACTTTTTTTTTTTTTGAGACCATGTCTTATTATATATCCTAGAACTTATGTAATTCAGGCTGGCCTCAAACTCAAAATCTTTCTGTCTCAGTTTTCCAAGAGCTGGGATTACAGATATGTACTACCACACTTAACTTCTTCTACCTGATATATGGCTGGAGGCTCAGCTAGTGCCTGCTCCATTCTATATGTCTCTAGGATTGTGCACCTCTGCCTGCGAAAGGCTGACCAGAAGCTGGTGATCATCAAGCAGATCCCAGTAGAGCAGATGACCAAAGAAGAGCGGCAAGCAGCCCAAAACGAGTGCCAGGTGCTCAAGTTGCTCAACCACCCCAATGTTATTGAATACTATGAGAACTTCCTGGAGGACAAGGCACTCATGATCGCCATGGAATATGCACCAGGTGGGCCTGCCTCCTTTCCGCACCTGGTTTCATGGACCTCGCACTTCTAGGATAGCCAAACAAATATGTGATTAGGTAGCTTCCTTCATTGGAATGGGGCTTGGCTGAAGGTCAGAAGTGCATTCTGGTTCCTTGTCCTCTAATCCTCTTCCATAAAAGGAGAGGAGTTGTCTCCCATTTGGAAGAGTCCAGATCTTGAGGAGCTTCTTGGGTTACAGGTGGCACCCTGGCTGAGTTCATCCAAAAGCGCTGCAACTCTCTGCTGGAGGAGGAGACCATCCTTCACTTCTTTGTGCAGATCCTGCTTGCCCTGCATCATGTGCACACCCACCTCATCCTGCACCGGGACCTCAAGACCCAGAACATCCTTCTTGACAAACACCGCATGGTTGTCAAAATTGGTGATTTTGGCATCTCCAAGATCCTTAGCAGCAAGAGCAAAGCCTACACGGTGCCTAGACATGGAAGGGACCCTAAGGATGCTAAAAGTGTTGAGGGCAGAGGTCTATTCTACATCCTTACGTCCTCCCAGCACCCCCCCCCAAAAAAAACAAATCTGGCTCCCTGGCCCCTAGCTGTATAGTCTTGTAGGAGAAAGCCTTTTGGCCTGCTTTGAAGGGAAGCTGTCCACAAATGGGTGTGTGGCCAAAGCCTAAAGTGGACTCTAATTAGATTTCCTTCCTGCAGGTGGTGGGTACTCCATGCTACATCTCCCCTGAGCTGTGTGAGGGTAAACCCTACAACCAGAAGAGTGACATCTGGGCCCTGGGCTGTGTCCTCTATGAACTGGCCAGCCTCAAGAGGGCCTTTGAAGCTGCAGTGAGTATAAACTCCCCTAAAGAAACAACTGGGAAATCTTGCTCCGTGCTCAGCAGCCCTCAGTTCCAACCATTTCTGAGCTTCTTCTCTTCAGTCAGTCATATCTCAATTGTATCTGGATTTCCCCAGGTGGATTACCTCAGGTCTGGGCTTGTGGCTGTTCTGGTTCAGATGACCTGTGGTAGTCTCAGCAGTTTAGGGAGGAAGTGCTGGAACTCCCTTATCAGACTAGGAATTCCTGAAAGTAGGGTTTGGCTTTGCTCCCATTGGGAGAGTCCTCTGATGAGACACTGAAGTCTCCTTCAGTAAGACTCTGCTTACCCCATCAGATCCTCAGATGGAGATGGAGCTAAGGGTGCTGCTCTGGCTAAGAGCCTAGCCCAACACCCTGGCCACCTATACTCCAACTTTGGGGCTTCACAGAACCTGCCAGCACTGGTGCTGAAGATCATGAGTGGCACTTTTGCCCCCATCTCTGACCGGTACAGCCCTGAGTTGCGCCAGCTTGTCCTGAGTCTGCTCAGCCTGGAGCCCTCACAGCGTCCACCACTCAGCCACATCATGGCTCAGCCCCTCTGCATCCGGGCCCTCCTTAACCTTCACACGGATGTGGGCAGCGTTCTCATGCGGAGGTCTACATAGATGGAGGGGTCCTGGGTGATAGGAGAGGGGAAGAGGGGGGGCTCCCTCTGTACTGTGTAAGATTGCCAGGGAGTGTCCTTGTCCTGAGGCTTGTGTCTGTCCTTCAGAGCAGAGAAGTCCCTGGTCCCAGGACCACCCATAGCCCCTAGCAGCACAGGGAACAGGACTTCCAGTGCCCGCTGCAGAGGTAAGTGGGGTGGTGGTGTGTCAGCTGCCAAAGCTTGCTTATTCCCGACCATTTCCATTAGTTTAATTGGCTGTGTACCCACAGGCATGCCCCGGGGATCACTGAGGCCTGCCATCCCGCCACCACTCTCTTCAGTGTATGCGTGGGGTGGGGGGCTCAGCACACCTCTGCGGCTGCCCATGCTCAACACTGAGGTGGTCCAGGTGGCCACCGGGCGCACACAGAAGGCCGGGGTCACACGCTCGGGACGCCTTATCCTGTGGGAGGTGAGCAGGTTGGCATTGGCTGTGGCCTGGATTGGGTGAAGGTGTCAGGAGGTTTGGAGATGCTCAGGCGCCGCCCACTTCCCCTCCCCTCCCGCAGGCTCCGCCCCTAGGCGCTGGGGAAGGCGTCCTCTTGCCTGGGGCGGTGGAGCACCCTCAGCCCCAGTTCATCTCACGTTTCTTGGAGGGCCAGTCAGGCGTGACCATCAAGCACGTGGCCTGCGGGGACCTCTTCACCGCTTGCCTGACTGGTGAGCTTGTCAGAGGAGACTCCTGTAGGAACTTCTCCACAGAGCAACTTTTTTCCGTTGCAAATTGCTCAACTAATGCTTGTCTCTTTTCTCCTAATTAACAAATTAACTGCTTCTATGGACTAGCAGTTGAGAACACGTGCTTACACCCGTCTCTGTTACCCCGTAACAACGGGCAGATGCCACAAGGGCCCATTTGACAGATGGGGAAACTAAAGCTTAGAGAAGTGGTCACTTGTCCAAAACCACACACAGGAAGAGATCCCTATCTTTCTCGCCCCCCTCCCCCAATCCTTCTAGCCTTAGCCCCAATTTTATCCCGCTCCTCCAACTCACGTGTGTATCAAGCTGGTTTCACTCCTCTTTCCTTAACTGCTTTCTTTCCCAGACCGAGGCATCATCATGACCTTTGGCAGTGGCAGCAATGGGTGTTTAGGCCATGGCAGCCTTACTGACGTCAGCCAGGTGGGTGGCACTTGTGCCCTGGAAAGGGGAAGTGAGAGACTGCTAGGGAGCGCACATGTGAAAGCTGACACCAGGTGGTGATGGTGGGAGGGGTGGTGGGGGAGGTGTGGGGAAGTCCTCAGCAGCCAAGTTACCACTAGCTCCCAGGCTGCACCTGTTCTGGGTAGGATCTGAGCAAGTACAGAAAGACCATGCTTGGAAATGGTGCTGTAGCCCAAGTGGTAGAGCGCTGGCCTTGAGCTGAAGAGCTGAGGGACAGCGCTCAGGTCCAGAGTTCAAGCCCCACGACTGACAAAAAAAAAAAAAAAAAAAGAAAAAAGACCATGTTTTTTAGTGGCTACCCACCTGGCAGTTTGTTCTGAATGTGGTGGAGGGAGGACTGCATTTAAAGAGACAAAACCTTCTGAAAATTTGCAGCCTAGCTGTAATCCTAGTTACTCAAGATGCTGAGACCAGAGGATCATGGTTCCAAGGCACTGTGGGCAGGAAGGTCTTTCTTTTCCTCTCTCCTCTCTCTCTTTAGCCCACCATTGTGGAGGCCCTGCTGGGCTATGAGATGGTGCAAGTGGCCTGTGGGGCTTCCCATGTACTGGCCCTCTCCACTGATCGAGAACTATTTGCCTGGGGCCGTGGAGATGGTGGTAAGCTCCCTCTGTTTCTTTGCTGTAGCCTCAAAGTTCCTTTTCACAGCTTCCTTAGCCATGGTTCTCCTTCATACCTACTTCTACCCCCCCCCCCCCTTGGGTCTTTCCTCTTTCCTCTCAAATTCTTTTTTTTTTTTTTTTTGTTGGTCCTGGGGCTTGAACTCTGGGCCTGGGCACTGTCCCTCAGCTCTTCAGTTCAAGGCTAGCGCTCAGCCGGGTGCCAGTAGCTCACACCTGTAATCCTACCTACTCAGTAGGCTGAAATATAATGATTGTGGGTCAAAGCCAGTTCCGGCAGGAAAAGGCCTCGAAACACTTATCTCCAATACCAGCGCACCGGAAGTAGTGCTGTGGCTTAGGTGGTAGAGTGCTAGCCCTGAGCTAATCTCAGTTTCCTGAGTAGCTAGGATTACAGGTGTGAGCCACTGGCACCTGATGAGTTTTTTCTTTTTCTTTCTTTTTTTTTTTTTTTTTTTTGGGTCCGGTCATGGGGCCTGAACTCTGGGCCTGGGCGCTGTCCCTCAGCTCTTCAGCTCAAGGCTAGCGCTCTACCACTTGAGCCACAGCGCCACTTCCAGCTATTTTTTTTTTGCTTATGTGGTGCCGAGGAATGAACCCAGGGCCTCTGGCATGCAAGGCATGCGCTCTACCACTGAGCCACCTTCCCAGCCCCCCTGATGAGGTTTTTTCTTTTCCAACAACATTTATTTGTTATTATTACTTTATTACTTTATTTATTTATTGTGGGTCATAGGGCTTGGACTCTGGGCCTGGGTGCTCTCCCTGAGCTCTTCAGCTCAAGGTTACTGTTCTACTACTTTGAGCCACAGAAACACTTCCAGTTTTCTGGTGGTTAATTGGAGATAAAGAGTCTCACAGCCTGGTGTTGGTGGCTCATGCCTGTAATCCCAGCTATTCAGGAGGCTGAGATCTGAGGATCACGGTTCAAAGCCATCACAGGCAGGAACATCAATGAGAATCTTATCTCCAATGAACCACCAGAAAACCAGAAGTGGTGCTGTGGCTCAAGTGGTAGAGCAGTAGCCTTAAGCTGAATAGCTGAGGGACAGCACCCAGGACAGATTCAAGTCCCATGACCAATCAAAAAAAAAAAAAATCTTACAGACTTCCCTGCCCCAGCTAGCTTTGAACTTTGATCCTCAAATCTCAGCCTCCTGAGTAGCTAGGATTACATACGTGAGCCACCCCCCCCCACCTTATTATTATTATTATTTGCAGTGTTGGAGATCAGACCGAGCGCCTTGGATATGCTAAGCATATCTATCCATCCAACAGTACTTACTGAGATCCTTTCTGGATTAGGCATTAGACTGGACACTGAAACTAGAGATGACATAGATGGTTTCTGGAAGAGAGGGGTGGAGATGACCCATTTTCAGCATGCTCAGGACAACTAGCATCAGGGTTACATCCAAGATTCAGAGGTGACAATTCAAGGATAGCTGTGTCACCTGTCAGGGACAGGTAGCATTAGAACAGGAGCTTGAGCCAGGTATTGGTGGTTCATGCCTGTAATCCTAGCTGCTCAAGAGGCTGAGATCTGAGGATCACAGTTCGAAACCAGCCCAGGTGAAAAGGCCCATGAGACTCTTCAATGAACTACTCAGAGAAAGCTGGAAGTAGCTCTGTGGCTTAAATGGTAGAAGCTAGTCTTGAACAAAAGATGCTCACCGGTTTTCTAGTGGTTTATTGGAGATAGCAGTCTCAAGGTCTTTCCTGCCCGGGCTGGCTTTGAACTGCGATTCTTAGATCTCAGCCTCCTGAGTAGCTAGGATTACAGGCGTGAGCCACTGGCGCCCGGCTTGCTTTTTTCTTTGTGTGTGAGACAGGGTCTTGAAGTGTCATCCATTGATTGTTCTATAACCTAAAAATCTTCCTGCCTCAGCCTCCTGAATAGAGGGATCATGAACAGGCTTGTAAAGGATTTTCAGCAATAGAAGAACCTCGAAAAGTCATTTTAGGCTAAGAACAGCCTTCACTCATACTGTTTCCCTAGTGGGCCCTCTTCCTTCTGACATCAATATCCCTAATGCTCCAACTAACCTCAACTTATTTCTTCTTGTAGGTAGGCTGGGACTAGGTACCACAGAGTCCCATAGCTGCCCCCAGCAGGTACCTTTACCCTCAGGACAAGAAGCCCAGCGAGTTGTATGTGGCATTGATTCTTCCATGATCCTCACAGTGTCTGGCCAAGCCCTGGCATGTGGGAGCAACAGGTGAATAGGTGGATGTAAATGTTCCATTCTTCATTCTTGTGCCTCTCCCCAAGAAACAGAACTGAAGGGGGCTGAGAGTGATGTTTGGTTCAACTCAGGGTAGCATCTGTCTACCAGCCACTACCCATATAGGTGGGGGCAAGGCAGCTATATAAACTGTCAGTTGGCTTTGTCTTTAGGTTTAACAAGCTGGGCCTAGACCACCTTTCTAAGGGGGAGGAGCCTGCCTCTCATCAGCAAGTGGAGGAGGCCCTAAGCTTCACACCACTAGGCTCTGCACCCCTGGACCAAGAGCCCCTCCTGAGTGTGGATCTAGGCACTGCTCATTCAGCTGCTGTGACTGGTGAGTAAAACCTGGGGACCAGGGTTTTGAGAGATGCTTACCGGGCCTCCTTGGGACTTTTGTTAAAGGACCTTCCTTTTTCTCCTTTTCCCTTCCCCACAGTCTCAGGCAGCTGCTACACTTTTGGCAGCAATCAGCATGGGCAGTTGGGTACCAACACTGCCCGCCGGGGAAGCCGGGCACCCTGTCAGGTCCAAGGCCTGGAGGGCATTAAGATGGTGATGGTGGCCTGTGGGGATGCCTTCACTGTAGCCATTGGGGCAGGTGAGTGTGGGCTTGATGGGGGCAGGCCCAGGCATGCATATGTAATCTCAGGGCTGGTGGACTCAACAACCTTTTGTTGGAACCAATTTAACCATTTGGTTGTATGGCTGCTTGCTTAGGCTCTATCCTATCTGGCCAAATCCACCTAGCACCACCACTACCATAAAAAAAAAAAAAAAAGTCTCTTTCAGAATTCTTGGAATTCTTTTTGGCAGAGGGAGAAGTGTATTCCTGGGGCAAAGGAGCCCGAGGTCGGCTTGGAAGGAGGGACGAAGATGCTGGACTCCCTAGGCCAGTGCTGCTGGAGGAGACACACCCTTATACAGTGACTTCCGTGTCCTGTTGCCATGGAAACACTCTCCTGGCTGTGCGCCGTGAGTTATCTTTTCTTCATCCACACAAGAATTACCCAGGCTGTCCGCTGTGTCACACTCTATCCTCAGTGATTACAACTCAAATCACACAAAGCATCTGCAGTCCCCAGATAAGTGAAAGCAAAGGCTGCAGGGTAAAACCATGAGCTTCCTGCCTGGGTGAGGAAGGGCTGCACCACTCTTCCTTAGTGCTCACATGCATTCTGTCTCCTCTCCTTGCTTGGGTCTAGTTGGTGTTCTATGTCTATTTGTAGGTGGGAAGGGGCCATACTCCAGGGCCCAGGGGGAATGGCAGTAATTGATGCTTGCTGGAGGCCACCCTCTGGGAAGCTGCAGACTCTACTCTTTGGTATTTTCCAGCTTTCACAGATGAGCCAGCCCCTCCTTGAGGCACCAGGATACATCTCTGGACCACCGTGACATGGCTTCTCCCTTGGTGTTCTGGAAAGTGCTGGTGCCTGAGGCCTGATGGTCCCCATCAGCCAGCTCCCCAGATTGCATCATCAGTGGGATGGAAGGACCCTACTGTGCTTTCGGCCTGCCAGACTAAAAGCCCTGCATAGGCATAGCCACTGTTTCCCCAATACTCTTCTCTCCCCACTCCTTTCCTTATTTGTTGTCCCCAATGCTCCAACTCAGTGGGAGTGGGCAGCCAAACCTACTTTTTAAAGAAAGGATGGTTTCCAGAACCTTGCTATGAAAGCATCTTCATCCTAAGCCCAGTTAGAAAATTAGGTCTGGGGCTGGGAAGGTGGCTCAGTGGTAGAGTGCTTGCCTTGCACGCATGAGGCCCTGGGTTCGATTCCTCAGCACCACATAAGCAAAAAGGAAAAAGCCGGAAGTGGCACTGTGGCTCAAGTGGTAGAGCGCTAGCCTTGAGCTGAAGAGCTGAGGGACAGCACCCAGGCCCAGAGTTCAGGCCCCACGACTGGACCCCCCCCCAAAAAAAAAGAAAATTAGGTCTATTTGAGGTGCTGGTCACTCATGCCTGTAATGCTAGCTACGCAGGGGGCTGAGATCTGAGGATCACCATGTTAAGGCAGCCAGAGCAAGAAATTAACCACCAAAGAAGTGGGAAGTGGAGCTCTGGCTCAAGTGCTAGCCTTGAGCACAAAAGCTCAGGGACAGTGCCCAGGCCCTGAGTTCAAGCCCCAGGACCAGTGGTGGGGGAAGGGGGTAGTAAGAGGGAGGGAGTGTATGGAGGAAGAGGGGGAAAGAGAGGAAGAGAGAAAATTAGTCCCTGGAGTCCAGTTCCAGACTTCAGAGCAGGACAAGATGGGGCCTGTCTGAACTGGCCATTAGGCCTACTTAAGCAATGCATGGCCTGGGGCAGGGCCTTCCAAGGAAGCCACACCCTCCTTTTATCCAGAAGCAGATCCAGAAGCAGGGATCTGCACCACCTTGGAAAGCCTCCACTGGAAATGGGTGGGAAAGCCCGGAAGTGGTTGTACTGAGGATCCCCCTGAAAGTTGCAAGCTTTTCCCCAGACCCCCAGGTTGGGAAAAAGATAGCTAGTTAGGCCATACCCGTTTCCCAAAGGACCGCCAGCAGCATCAATAAAAATATCACTGCCTGCCTGAAGTACGGTCTCTTCAGTGGTGCGGGCGGCCGTGAGCCACCCAAGGACTGGGCCAGGCCTGACTGCGGTTGCAGGGCCGTGGCGAGGGAGGAATGTGGGCGCGGCTGGAGACTTGAGGCCGAGGATCCTCTGGCCCAGTGCCCGGCCTGGCCTCCTCGTCCCAACCAGGCCCCTAGGATTCCGGTTGCCAGGCTTCAGCTACCTAGCACCTGGAAGCCAGAGCACTCCACGAGTTCCTGGGCGGCGCGAGGCCCCGGAGGAGACGGAGCTGTGGCCTCCAGAGAAGCAAGTCTTTCGTGGTGCGGCACGCCGGGCACGCCCCCCCCCCCCCCCCCCCCGAGCCCCAAGCCCCGTTCCAGGGAGAAAAGAGGCCTCCCCTCGCCCTCTGCTTCTCAGGGGGGACCCACAGGACTTATTTTCGCGGCCGGGGCCAAGCAGAGGCGCCCCTGACCGCAGAGCGGAGGGCCAGGCGGGGAGGGCGGGGCGCCGGGCCCGGCGAGCGCTAGGACCGCGCGGGCGCGGCTCCGCCCCCTCTTCCGGCGAGCGGGCTCCCGGGTCGGTCCCCCCGGCGGCCGCGGCTAGTCGGCGTCGCCCGGAGCCGGGGAGCGCGGGCCCGAGCGAGGCGCGGGCTGTGGGGCCGCCGCGTGCCCCGGCCCCGCTCGCCCGTGCCCGCGGCTGAGCCCGCCATGCCTGGCTTCGACTACAAGTTCCTGGAGAAGCCCAAGCGGCGGCTGCTGTGCCCGCTGTGCGGGAAGCCCATGCGCGAGCCCGTGCAGGTCTCCACCTGCGGCCACCGCTTCTGCGACACCTGCCTGCAGGAGTTCCTCAGGTGCGACGGGGGGGGGGGCACCCGGAGGGGGGGCGCCCGGCGAGGGGCGGGGGCTCCGGCCGGGAGCACGTCGGGCCTTTGTCTGAGCCCCCGCCAGGTGACCCCAGGGGCTCCTGCCTTGACGTCATGGGGTGGCGATGACGTCAGGCCCCGAGGGAGGACACCCCCCCTCCCCAGCGTTTGTTCCCCCTCCCTCCCCCCGGCGGCTCCCCGGGTCCCACCTGCCCAGCCCAGGTGGGGAGAACTCTGGACGTCCCGGCGGGGCTGGGCAAGGAGAGACGCCCTGCCCCCTCCCCGAGGGCCGGGCCGCGTCGGCCGTGAACTTTGGATCGCGCGGGGAGGAGGCCGCCCTCGCCGGAGCCGTGGGGCTGTGTTTTCCCTCGTCCAACCTCTTCTGGCTGGCCTCAGTACCGTGGCTATTGTTCTCCCATTTCAGAGATTCAGAGGAAGGCTGAGACTTGCCCAAGGCCACCTAGGAGAAGGCTTAGGCGGAATTCAAGCCCGGGCCGCACGCGGTCACACTGTCCCGGGAGGAGGATCGTGGCCTCCACCCCTCCCCCGAAATAGGCATCCCTCGGGGGTCCCCCCGCCCTCCCGGGGCGGCTGTGGAGTGCGGCTGGTGGGAGGGTCACGCACGCGGGTTAGAGCTGCTGTCCCTCTGGCCCCCCCCCGGGGCATCCATTACGTTTCCTTTGGGTCTCCAGTCCACTCTGGGAACTGCTGGGGCGAGACGAGGGGCGAGGTGGGGAGCCCGTCCCGAGGAGGCGGCGCCCCAGCGCACGGGGACGCTAGGGTCAGCCGCGCGTCTGCTGTGACTGAGGGGCCCCGCACCCGTGCGCCCGCCCTCGGCGGTGGCAGCCCCTAGCTGGTGGAAATCTCAGCAGGTCCTTTGTTTTCGGTTCCCCGCAGCCTCCCGGCTCCTGCCCTCACAGATGCTCCCGCACTAGCTACTGTGAGCCCCCTCCTCCCTCTCTCCCGTTCCCTCCTCCCTGCCGTGTACACACTTAACTCTGCTACACACACACGGGCCCATTGTCCTCCCTCCTTCGCTTTCTGGTTTCCAGATGAGGCCAGCTGAGCCAGCCCCCCTCCAGCTGACCCACCCTTACCCGCCGCAGGGAAGGAGCGGGGGAGGGGACTGTCAGGCCTGGCTCCCTTCGCCGTCCCCTAGCTAAAGCTTCTGCCCCTCCTCCTCCCGGAAATCCCCTCTTCCTCTCCTACAGCCCCCTCCCCCCATCCTGTCTTCTCCCCTGGGCCTGGGCCTCCACTGCTCAGCCAAGAACAGCCTCTACGTCTCCCCCTCCCCCCAGTGCCTGAGCTCCGTTGCTGAGGCCTCTGGAGAGAAGAGGTTGGATAGGCCTCTGTCCCTCACCATCACCTCTATCCTACAAGCTAGGTAGACCATAGTCCTGGCTTAAACCTTTGTCCTGGATGGGCCCCAAACTGCAGGGTAAGCTTCTGCCTGAAGCCTAGGGACTTGCCTTAGTCCCCTCCCTGTCTCCAGAACGACTAGGTCAGCACATTCCTGAAGCAGCCAAGTGGACCCCCCCCCTCCCCTTGGCCCACTCCTCTTTCCCCACTCCTGCCAGGGCTATTACTCAGGTCGGGCCAGGAAGTCTGGTTGCACTGTTGGTACAGGCACACCTTCAGTGCCTGGGCATGTACTGGTTTTGGCATTGGTGGCATGGCCAGTGATAGTGGGGTCAGGAGGAGGGGATACTAGAAACTCTTTTTTTCTGAACCTGGGACATAAATTGTCCTGGCTCTAAAAGTGCCTTCAGAACAGGGCTGCCATGTGGCCTCTGCTTCCACCTTGCCTACCACCTATCTGATTCCAACCTACCAGAAATGTCATGCCTGGGGGGGCTTAGGTCCTGCTCAATGAGCCTTTGCCCTGCCTGGGCCACACCAGGCATGCATGACTGGTCCTGGCAGGGTCAGCAAGGACATGCTGGCAGGAGGAAGCCCAGCACTGGGCTCCTTGGGTGCTAACAGCCAGGTGGGGACTGGAGAGGACTAGGGAGCAGCTGGTAGGGGGTGGGGTGACTAAGCTCCTGAAGCCAGAGGAACAGTGATCAGCCAGGCCGTGTGTGTGTCTGTGTGTGTGTCTGTATCTGTCTGTGAGACTGTGACAGTAAAGCCTGACTGAGCTGTAGAGTCATAGACCAGCCTCCTTCCTTTCTTTGACTTCTGAGTGAGAAGATTAACCCTTCTCAGAGACAAGTGGTGAGGACCTGGACCTGGTAGGATTGTGAATGACTGTCAGGCCTCTTGCCTTTGCTTGGGAAAACACACCCTCAAAGAGGAGGGGGGGATGGTTGGTGTGAGGTAGCCTGGGGCTAACCTTTGCCCTGGTTCTTAGGCTGGCAGTGTTGTGGAGATTGAGCAGCCCTGGCACTTAAATCCCAACCCATCTCAGCTCACCCTCCCATCAGCTTTCAGCCTAGCCAATGAAAACCACTCTGGGGGGAAGGGGTAGCTGGGCAGCCTGTTTTAAGTCCAGCTGCTATCCTAGGGGAGGGGGTGCCAGCTGCCACCTGTTGGCCAAGTGCTATCCTGGCAGCTGGCTCTGCCTCCACTGGTCCCAGAACTACCATTCCCAGAACAGGGAAGGAGTCCTAGAGAATTGGCTCCCCTCTGGCCTCTGCTTGCCCCCTTTGTCTGTGCTGTGGCTGGTTGGGAACCGGTCTGGTGAGGGAGGGAGGGAAGGAGGGAGGCTGTCCAGGTTGAGAGGGTGGGGCTATGTTCTCCCTTCCCATAAGGAGAGCTTTGACCCTGCCCTCTCCCCATTTTAGTGAAGGAGTCTTCAAATGCCCCGAGGACCAGCTTCCTCTGGACTATGCCAAGGTGAGTCCACACTGCCAAATAACCCAGGCACAGGGTACAAAGCTGTTGCCCTTGCTGGGGGCTGTTGCTGTTAGCAGCCAGCGGGCCCAGGGCCAGTGTCAACCCCGAGCCTCAAGATCGCGTGCCCCCACAAAGGTAGCCTGTTCTCTCCCACCAGCCCAGTTTGCAAACGGAGGCTATGTTTGCCCTGCAGGGCAGGCACAATGCCCAGCCTGTGGGGGTGCACAGAGCTGCTCTGTGTCCTTAAGAAGTGCTCCTTCCCCTTGCCACAGGGCAAGTTAGACTTGTGGCTGAGGGCCAGGAGCCCTCCACTAGGGGATAGGAAACAGGGCAGAGGAGGACACAGCCTGGACTGAGTACTATCTCTGGAGGGAGCATGGTTCTGTGCAGGCATGTTAGAGACCCTGAGATCCAGCAGCAGGGAAGTGCCTTGGGCACAGAGTGGCAAACAGTATAAAAGAGAGAGGCCTTAGCTCAAGAGAGGCTATTAAGGGCTCTAGAATTGAGCCAGATT